AACCCACTGTCCCTCCTCTGGACATGTCCAACCCACTGTCCCTCCTCCTCTTTATCTCCCAGTTGTTCAACGTGTGCTGTCTTTCTGTCCATGTCTCTGTCTCCAGACCAGACAACATAGCTGGTCTCACCAGTGTCTTGTAAACTTGTCCTTTGATCTTTGTTGACACCGTTTCGTCACAAATCTCTCCTGAACGACTGGAACAGTAAGATTTTTAAAAATTGGTTTTAGTGTTTTGCGTTTATTGTAACATTTGGTACCAGTTCCAAAGCTGGTTCCCAGTCCAGTCCCCAGTCCTCCAGCGGTCGTCTTGCCCCCAAAGAGACCTCCTCCAGTGGGGTTTGCTCCAAAACCTGCAAGCAGTCAGAAACAGAGGTCACAAGGAAGAAGCCGAGCGCGAGTCTGCCGACAGCCCAGAGTCCGTTTACCGAAGGTGGAGGTGTTGGTTCCGGTTCCCAGGGTCAGAGCAGGCTTGTTGCCAAAGAGCCCGGTGCCGGTGCCGAACGACGGGGCGCTGGTAGTTGTGGTGCCGAAGCCAGCCGTTTTACCCCCGCCAAACAGACTTGGCTGGAGAAGAACCAGAACCACCAGAACATTTACTGGACTGTTTTTACATCAACAGAAAATAAACGAGTCTGATTCTCCGGGGCGCTAAATGTTGGACCGTCTTTTACACGGAATGAATTCTCATTCATGTTTAACAAATAAAACCTTATCATGAAGAAACGGGTCGGTCCCGGGTCGTACCTGCGTTCCAACGTTTCCAAACCCGGTGCTGGGCTGTCCGAACAGACCCGAGGCCGCCCCAAACCCAGTGGCGGTGCTCGTCGTGGTGCCGAAGAAACCACCGGGCTGAGAGGCTGCTGTGCTCCCAAACAGCCCCTGAAGAGAACCCAAGCAGGGCCGAGTTCTAACAAAGACCAGAACCAACGTTCTGAGTGGATCAGAAGCTGAAACTCACCAAGCTGCTGGTGTTGGGCTGGCCCATGGTGCTGGTGTTACCGAAGGAGAAGCCGGTGCTCTGGGTCGTCTGGGTCGCACCGAAGGGCTTGAAGAGGCTGTTGGCCGGCTGCTGGGCCGGCTGTCCGAACAGACCTCCTGTGGTGGTTCCGAAGGTTCCTGAAGGTGCTGCAGAACAAGCGGGTCGACACAGCTCAGTTTCAGTTCTTATTTGGTGACGTTCCCTCGTGCGCTCCACTCACTCGCTCCAAACGTGGTCTTATTGGGCCCGAAGCTGAAGCTGGTGTTCGGGGCGGTGGCGCCGAACAGACCCGTGGCGGCGCTGGACGTGGCCGTGGTGCCGCCAAACAGGCCGCCCGTCCCCGGTGCCATTGGGTTGGACGGACCCTTCCTGCCCGCCTGGTAGTCCTCCAACCTGAGCTCCTAGAGAAACGACAACCGGATCAACGAAGGTCCACAAAGCCCTCGGGTCAGAACATCCAGAACTTCCTGTGGTTCTGTTTAGGTCCGGTTCAGACAGAACTCGGTCAGAGCTGCAGCACGGCTCTAGACTCACCTCCAGAGATTTGTTCTCGTACTCCTTCATGGCGGTGATGCACTGGTGTTTGGTGTTGATGCTCGTGGTCACGCCCGCTTTCACCATCGTGTCACTTCCTGTTGGGGGCTGAGGGAAGACGGGGGTGAAGACCGTGGCCCTCAGAGGACTGTCTAAAGGTTTGAAAGGTGCCCCGCCCCGTGTCTGAGCGTGCACGCACCTGTTTCTACCAGAGGTGCATCGATAAATCTGCCGGCCGATACACGAAGAACGATTTTACAGATGTTTGTAGTTTTAACAACAATTGTCTGAACTTCCTGTATATTTCAGATCACTGCCTCATGGCGTTAAAACAAGTCTGTATCGTTTCTAAAATAAGGTTCAGGGGTTGTGCTTCAATAAGATCGAAGGTGCATTTTAACTAGAGGCACCGATCCCCAAGTCTGAGTATCGTCCGATACCGATCCAATATCCTGATCATTGATTTTACATGAGGCTGTAATAATCTCCTCAAGTACAATCTGTACAAATCTATGCATGCATGTCCAACAAGACAACTTGAGGGAAGTTTTATTAAAGTTGGAGAAGTTTTAAACTTAGAATTAGATTCTAACTTTAAAACACGTTTCTTTTTATTCCTAGTTTTAAAGTGAATATTAAAGTGATTAATTTAAGTGATCGTTTAAAGTTATTTAATATTGTTTTTAAATAAGGGGCAGATATAAAATTATTTTTCTTCTTTCTGAACTCTTTTCATTCAATGTTTTCTTCTTGATGATTTAGTTTGTTTTTGTTTCTTTTAAATTTTGATGAATAAATTAATTAAATGTTAAATGTCTTCAAACACCTGCTAAGTTCATGACAAACCAACAGACATGTTCCTGTTTTTAGTATTTTACATCACTTTATAATGTAGCTGTTTATGTTTTTAATATATTTAATTTTCAAATGTGTTTTTTATGATTGTCTCCTGTTGTTCTGATAAATGTCTCCTGGAGGTTCAACTAGATCTTGGCTGCAAGTATCAAACTGTGAAATCCTTCGTTTTCTCCAACTGATAGCTGTTGGTCATTAATGATGAAGTTTAGCAACTTCTCAGTAAATATTTGAGCTCCGGGGCTTCAGCGACGTCTTCTTCTTGTTCACTCTCATTTCAGTCTGTCCCTCCTCGGAGACGGGCAGACGGAGCGGGACAGGTTGGACGTGGCTGGCCGGGGTCAAGTCGCCTGTTTCAGGTTCAGTGAGAGGAGCAGACCGCTGAAGCCCCGGAGCTCGAAGGTCCATCGTAAAACTAACTTGACCGTGGTTTAATGTGGCGCTGTGGCTCTGCAGACCGTGCACGTTGCTGTCTTGTCTTGTTCAGTGTAAAATACTTCCACACAGCGACATGTTTACATGAAAGTGTGTTAGCTGTTAGCCACAGTGCTGCTAACTCAGTCCTCATGTTGCAGCTGCTGCAAACTATGGACTGGATTTCCTGAATGTGGGGCGGGTCTTATTACTCTGGATCACGAGACACGTTCAGGAAATCCATCCCATAGTTTGAAGCCAACGTGCATCATGGATCAGAAAAATCTGATGTGTAAATTATGCTGGTATCGGAGGCCGATACTGGATCGGCCCCGTCCCTAGTTGTAACACCTGACAGTGTCGCTTATTAAACACAACCGGTACCAGTCAGAAACAATCGGTGCAGCCCTAGTTTCTACCTGATGATCCAAACCTGAAGCCGACCCAAGACTCCAGTTTTATAAGAATCAACATGAAAGCTGCTCCGAGTCGTTTCAACTATCGTTGTGTTTTTAAGAAATCCTCTCAAACCAGTTTGATCTGATGAAACGCACGCAGGCCTGGAAATGTTCCAGTTAAACACCAGCCTTTAAAAAGCTCGAGTTCTAGAGGAGCAGAGCAGCTGCTTGTTTCACTGGAAACATCTGGTTAAGGTTCCGAGTGACTGGAAACATCTGGTTAAGGTTCTGAGTGACTGGAAACATCTGGTTAAGGTTCTGATTGAATGGAAACATCTGGTTAAGGTTCTGATTGAATGGAAACATCTGGTTAAGGTTCTGATTGAATGGAAACATCTGGTTACGGTTCTGAATGACTGGAAACATCTGGTTAAGGTTCTGATTGAATGGAAACATCTGGTTAAGGTTCTGATTGAATGGAAACATCTGGTTAAGGTTCTGAATGAATGGAAACATCTGGTTAAGGTTCTGATTGAATGGAAACATCTGGTTAAGGTTCTGATTGAATGGAAACATCTGGTTAAGGTTCTGAATGATTAACCATGACAGCTGCGTCTCGACTCACGTTGAATTTCACCGTCGTTCCCGGCTGCTGAGTGGCCGAGAACCCGGAGCTGCCGAAGAGCGAGCTGGAGCCGCCGAAAGGGTTGGAGGTGGTGTTGGTGGCCCCAAACAGGCCGGTGCCGCCGGTCGTGCTCGTCCCGAAGCCTGGCAGACACAAACAGCAGTTTGGACCCGGCGTGACCCATCAGTCAGAGTAACAGACCCGTCCAGTCCGCAGGACACTCACTTCCAAACGAGGTGGGTTTGGCTCCAAACGCATTGCTCTGCTGGGTGAAGAGCCCGCTGCTGGTACCCGTCCCAGTGCTTCCAAACAGACCGGTGGAGGTCCCGGTGGCTGCACCGAATCCAAACCCGGTGCTGGTGGAGGAAGTGGCCGGCTGGCTGAACGTGCTGGACCCAAACAGACCACCTGCAGAGGGAACAGGAACAAATCTTTCAAACTGTGACACTAAATTCGTCTTGTTAATGGTTCTGTTTAAAGACAGCTGATGACGACTAAACGCGTCGGTTGTTGGAGCCCAACATTCAGAAGAACCGAAGCTGAACAAAACATTTTTAAAAGTCTGGATAAAAACTGATTCTCAGGATTTAGACAGACCCGGTTTATTCGGTGTTGATCCAAACAGTCCTCCTGTGTTGGCGGTCGCTCCAAAAGCAGACGCCCCAAAGGTTCCTGATGCCCCAAACCCGGCGTCTGCAGGAAGAAAGTCCAGACCAGAACATGAGAACCTGAACCGTCGCTCCTGTCCTCCCATCTGCACGACTAAAACGTATGTTTCTCTACGGTCCAACAACAAAACCACAAGTTGGACTTTACTGTCATTCCTGTAATCAGACTAGCGGCAGGCAACATCTGTCCTGATGGGACAACAACTGAACCCTGCGGCGCTCAGCCATTTACAAGAAACTAAATCTGGTTGGATTTGGTTAAAACCTGAAGACTTTCAGTCCAGAACATGCTGGTCCATCTGGGACTAAGTGCATTGGATCAGGGGTCTGGTTCGGGAGGTCCACCAGATGTTCCTCTGCTCCGACACGCGGACAGGCTGTGTGCACCAGCTCCCACACACATCGGGACGCATCAAAATGAACGTTGCGTAGAAGCAAAGTTTCACAGAAACACGACTGGGTTTGGTTTTCTGAACTTCAAGTCTCAAACACGAGGTTTTACTTTCATTTATGGTCTGAAGCACGTGGAGCTGAAACAACAGGACACGCCTCACTTCAGCGTTTCTTCTGTAAACACACGCCTGCACACAGCAGCAGCGTGAAGTGTGGAGAGGAAGAGAAGAACCACGTGAGACGAGGACTCCTACACATCTGTCCAGCTGTGTAGACATATCTGTGGGACAGAGACAGCTGTGGAGCTGCAGGACGTCGTCACCAACAGAAGATCTGGAAGCAGCGAGTCTTCAGGGATCACAGGGACCAAACGCTGATCAGGTCCTTCTCAGCTGGATGATGATGGATCTTCATCCAGATGCCCTGATAGATAAAATTTCCACACCGCCGAGGAAATACTTTGTTGATTCTCTGCAACTTCTATCGTCAAAGAACAAGCTTTTAAGTTCTACCGAGCTCCTGAGTTCTCAGAAATTATTTATTAAACCCGTGTGTAAAGTTGGACATTGTTGGATAATTATCCTTTCATCATCTCATTAATCAAATAATCCGCACTGAGGATACGAGAAGATCTTTACACAAAGTTTTACTCCTTGCAAGGGGGGCAGAGGTCACACACAGAAGGTCTGTCCACAGACAGCATAAAGAAGAAGGATCTGTTTATAAAGCCCGTCAGGCAGAGGCGACCTCTGCTTCCAGCTCGGAGTTTATCCGTGCTCCTGCAGGCTCCTCTCTGTTCAGTCAGCAACTCACACACACGGTTCTACATTAATATTTGTGAAAACGTCCATGACCTTTACAGAAATTCCTGACAGACCAAGCCTTAGAAAGGCAGAGATTTTTTCTTGGTGGTTTTCCATTTTGTTTTTGAATACAGAAACAGAAACTGGACTCGACTCTTCTGGACCTTTGGAGATCTGATCCCTGGGAAGAATCTGCCGTGAGCCGCAGCAGCTTGGTTCCTGCAGCTCCGTCTGGTCTAGTTCTTATAATTCTAGATGTTGGAGGTGGGTGCACTGTGAACACCCCCGCCATGAACCCTAAACATTTGGATTTGATGCACGTGTGACCCACCTCCCGTGAAGAGTCTGAACAGCTGATGAAAACCCAAACCAGCTGCTGTGCCGTCAGTGTCCTCACATCACGGAGTTTGTGTACCGCCATTAAACCAACATATTCACTTTCTACAGGTATGACATCATCAGCACGAGTTGTTGTTGGTTTGAAGAAAGAAATAACTTACTCGGCTGACCAAAGGTTGATGACGAGCCGAACCCGCCCGTCCCCCCACCGAAGGGAGTACCAAATGAGTTGTTGAACATCTTGGCCTGCTAGCAGCACCTCATAAGACTTCTGTGGAGACAAAAACAAAACCTCAAACACCTGACGAGTTGCTCACACCTCATTTCATCATCCACCACGTCCAGCTGCTGGGCAGAAAGAGCTTCGACTCCTACAGACGGGCCTTTCTGAACTCTACCCGAACGGGCCCAATTTAAATGTAGGAATAAAGGTGCGGACCCTGGAGTTCCTTGGTGATCTGTTCAACTGTTCACTCACAGAAGACACGGCAACAACACCTAAAGATGGTACCTGTCGAGGTTAGGAGCAGTTTTCTGTCTAAATGAGGTCAGAAAATGTGATAAATCAGCCAGAGTCCAAAAACTGTAGGTGACCTGCTCAACCAGTGAAGAAATGAGGAGTGAAGTTTTGATCACAACTACAAGCGTTTTAGAGTCAAAACACGTGGAGTCGATATTTTATTAATGACTCCGTGAATCACTTGGTGAGTTCAATGGGCTCATGTCATGGCAGAGCTGCCGCCCCACGGTCCACTCGGCTCCGAAACAACAAGCTCCACGTCTGAACACATCCAAGATCGACTGCTGCTAGATCCAAGATCGACTGCTGCTTGCTTTGATCCGGTTAAGACCAGTCACTGGTTGACTCGGGTAGATGCAGCCCAAAACGTTTTTGGCCTCAAGTCTTTACGGACTAAATATAACATTTAAAAAGTCCATTATTCTAAACGAAAAACGGTGCCAGCCTATAAAAGACAATATGAACGCTGTCGATGTACTGAAAGCAACATTTAAAAGAAGCTACGCAAAGCTAATGTTAGCTAGCTAGCTCTGCTGCTAACTGAGCGTTAGCGTCGCAGAAACAAGTGATCAAAAAACAACATTGAACGTTTCGTCAAACCTTTACCTCCAACAAGTCTGCTGCAGCAGTTCAGTCTTCTCCTGAAAAAGTCAACTCCCGGAGTTGAAACCGCTCTCTGACGCTAAAAGTGCTTAAAACCCGAACATGAACACAGGCCGCGAGCTGTTAGCTTCAACTGCGAGGAGGGAAAACGATTCAACAACCGTCAACACGCGTTTTCATACGTCATCACGTCGACGGAACGTCACGTTACGTAATCCTGGATTTCCGTTCTTTGTGTGTCCACGTTTTCTTCCGTGCGTTTTTCTGCATCTAACTACTCCCACAGCTTTGTGCTATTTCAACAAGTCCTATATGAAACCGTCCAGCTCTTTGAGGACATGACTGCCATGACTCTGGTATTGGAGCAACTTTAGCTTTTTGAGATATTTAGCCTTTTCCAACATTTTCTTCCCCACTGACATTGAATTGAGCTCATTTTACGTCTTTCTTAACTTTGGATCTGTTTACAAGCTTTTACTTTGACATTTAGGTCCAGTTAACCTTCTTTCATCTTCCTTGTGCAAGTTTCAGCTGTTTTGTGCTCCTTTCTGCTTCATTCAGCTAACTTCAAGATTTTTATGCTTCTTCAAACTTATTTCAACTCATTTCAGCTCGTTTTGCTCCTTTCAGCTTATTTCTGTAGGTTTCTGCTATTTCAGCTAGCATTTAGCTGTTTTTATGCTAATTCCATCTTTATCAGCTAATTCCACATTTTGGGCAAAAATGTAAACGTTTTTTTTAGCGTAATTCAGCAAAAACATTCTCTCCCGACTTCCATCTAGTAAATTAAGCTACTTTCTGCTTGTTTTAGCTGGTATTCAGCTGTTTTAGCAAAGTCAAACTTTTCTCAGATAATTTCCCTAGTTCCCCATCACGTTCCCTAACACATAACGAATCAAAAATCAAAGATGGCCGCCTTAGCAAAACAGGAAAAAGACTATAAATGAGCCAGGTTTAGTCACTGCGCTGGTTGGTGATATGAGAGCTGACAGTTTCCTAAAAACAAAAATCCAAGATGGCCACCGATATGAAAGTTGAGTTGAATTAACTCGGCCATTTTTACACAGAGCTGAAATTTGCTGAGAATGTTCCCTATCACATACTGCATGCAAATCAAAAAGACAAGATGGCCGCCTTAGCCAAAAAGGAAAATATACAATAACTGGCATTCTTAGAGCTATCAGCTGATATTTGGTTCAGCGGTAGCTGAGAGCAGACACAGTGTGTCGGATCAACAGTTTGTCGGCAGCAGCCTGGCAGGCCAGCACGTTGGGAACGTGCACACGTTGGGAACGTGCACGCTTTGCTTCCTTCTGATAGTTGAACTTTTGTGCTGCTGATTTAAGCTACTTTTCAACAGTTTTCTTCACATTCATGAGCAAGAGGCATTCACACGTGCATTTTCTCAGGAAATGCACATTCTCTAGTTACGTTCATTCACTGAATCTTTATTTCTGCAGGTCGGTCTCGTTGAGTCTCGTGACTCATTTACAAGAGAGACCTGGTTCAACAAAGAACAGACGACAACACAAGCCTAAAAAAAGCATATAGAATGGAAAGTAAACGAGAAATTATATAAAAAACAACATCTTCATCTTTAAATCACTTCCTGGTCTGCTGCCTTCATACATCTCCTCCTCCATGTCTCTGTGTGAGTGCAGCTACAGCGTGCGCTCTCAGGACATCATTACCTGCAGTGTTCCCTCAGTGAGGACTGAACTAGA